CATATATATATATATATATATGTATTACAGTAAACAAACAGTGTTTTGTAAACATTTCTGATTGCATAAGTGACCTTTGCTGTTTTGTAACCACGTTCAGGAAAACAACTAAATTAAATACCACCTCTACCAGGTCTCTCCTGTTGTTACAGAAGCACAGAACTATTCAATCAGACAAGGAGTCTGCTAAATTAACCCTTTTATTTCAAGGGGTACCAGGGTTATAGTCCTGGCCCCTCCCTTGCCCCAAACTAACAAAGGGTGGGCACCTTCACTGCACTGAGCTGCTGAGGTGCCATAACTGTACCTTCAAGAACCACTTCTGAGCTGAGGAATATAGATAGTTCCATTTTTAACCCCAAATGATCTGCCTTCAGCTCCGGGTGTCTCTTAGTGTTTCTTTTCTGGCACCATCCCTTTATGGAGGTTACCCAGGTATTAGGCTGCTCATTTATTTAACAGAAAGAAGAGTAGCAGCTTTCAGATAGTATTTGCTTTAAGTCACTGCAGGCCATAGCCAGATAAAATCACTATTCAGTACCATTGATTACTTAATGCAGAAAAGGGGCAGGGAAAGGGCTGAGGAGCAGAGAGGCTGTGTAAGTACTTACTGCAGTAACCAGTACATGTTTGCTCTTTGCTAAAACTGAAAGCAAATATGAATTATCGGAATCAAGTATTTAAAGGAAGGAGGTTGTTTGGGGATAGGACATACTGAGCCAAACCAACCTGAATTCCTGCTATAGCACTGCTGTGAAGGAGGAAAAAAATTAAAATATCCTCCGCTCTACGCTTAATAATTCTTTCCCCAGCTAAAAGGGTATGAAAAGGCTGGATGGATCTAAATCTTAGATCTTGGAGCACATTTGTAATCACAGTGACTACCAGCAGCGGAGACAGGTAGGGTTTGTTTTCTGGATAAGCCTTGTAGGCTGCCAAATTTTCCAAGCTCAATACGTAAGAGATTCAATCAAGTCCATCAGAACAGTAATCAGCGAACATTTTAATTCTGCAAGGTATGTACATCACAACATTAAAAGAACACAAGTGCCCATTCCAAACAGCTCAGATAAACTGTGCAAATAGTGGGTCTTTGTGTGTCTGCAATCCCACCATGCAAACGATAACTTGAGATGCATGCTAATGAGCTACCATCGCCAATACCAAAGGAAAATGCTAAAGGAAACAAGAATGAACAGCAGTGAAAGCCACACAAAGACCCACTATCCTTTCTGCTTTTACAAATCAACTGTTAGATGTAGATTATAAGAAAACCCACAAAACTCTAATTTCTTGACTGGATCTAACGTTCAAACGAAGCAAAAGGACTGTGTCAGAGATATGTGAGCAGGGCTGGCCACCCTGCCGCCACGCTACAGTCAAACTTGGATAGTGGGTCTCTGAGGTGCTTTCACACTGGAAGACAACATTGGGTCCTAAAAAAAAACAAAGCAAAAAAAACAAAAATGAAGGATAAAATGAACATAAATTTGAAGAGTGACACATATGAGTTCTATGGACAAAGACAGAACAACACCAAAAAGGTCAGAAAGGAATGACTAACATTCAACTTTCTGAAAACAGACATCGTGAGCTTCTGCTCTGGCAATTTCATATTCATAAACACACACAGTTTTAAGTACTTGTGACCAGCCATTGCTGACTCTGAAAAACCCTTGTTGAGGAAACCCATTCACTTGAGGAAAGTTTCTTCCCATGGAAGATTTCTGTCATGTAGAACTCAACAACACAAGGTCAAACCCTAAAGTGGTTTTTTTTTTTTTTTTTAAAGGAAATGGTAACAAGTCCCTGAGATTTCAACAAAGCCAGCATTTCTCCTGAGAAACTTGTAATGAGACGTTGGAAAATCAGATAAAAACTAAACTTGTACCCAAAAGCCTCATTGGAATTTATTTATATTGGCACATAAAAATTAACCTGTTTGACTCCGTTCAAAGCCTTGAAAAGAAATGAAACCTTGTCCATGAAATAGGTACCACATCACTCGATAGACCCACCAGAAACCAAGGTCCACAGGGCCATGAGGTGGGCTGCAGCTGCACACACCCTGCGGGTCATCCAGGGACTATTCCACACCCCAAGGGGTCAACGTGGAAGCTTTATCAATCCTGACTGACAACGATAAAATAGTTTTAGAAATACAAAATGACTATGTCACTGTGAACTAAGGGACTGACTTTCATCTTTGGTAAAAGGGGGAAAAATTCTGGAGCTGTTGAGTCAAATCTTAGAATTAATTCTTAATCTTCTTGTGTTGTGGACCTGCAACATCCACACCTCAAAGCCACCAATACCAAAAACTCTTACTCCATAATCATAAAGAGAAGTTACTTGGCAGTAACTAGAGAACTTCAAAATCTGTTTTCCATACAGAGACACAGAAATGTGTGGGGAGAAAACTTAACTACAGAAAATATAAGAAGGCTCAAACTGGTCCTATGGATAAGAAGACAAACTGAAAGAAGGTACCTCGCTGAAAAACCAACAAATAAGGCAAGAACAACCAAGAGCAACCGTTTAAGGCAGATGAAGACTGGCTGAAATGACAAGATTATCTGTAGGCAATGGGGAAGAAGAGTGAAGTGGAAGTGCACTGTGCCTGCCCGGCCTCACACAGCCCTCAGGGAGAACGGGAAGAAAACATCTCAGACCGGTACAGCTACACAGAAGATCTGACCCTGAATGGTTGAGGAAACACTTGACAAAGAACAGAAGATTATTCCCTTAAATCTATAGCTATTTATACTTTGAAACCTCTACGTATCTTATTTATTCTTGGTGAGGAATTCTGTGCAAATATTAGAATACAGGCTCTTAAAATGTCATTAAAACACGAGTAAGTCTAATCATCACCAAGGTCACTGAGGGGACGACTCAAGTATTTTGCGTCTGCCATCACCTGGACTCGGTTGTGTTTAAGAGACCTGCTGATAAACCTATCCCACCCTTCACTGAGGTTTTTCCTTGCAGGATGTGCAGCTACACCAACAGGAAAAGTCACCCTGTCAGCACAGCTTATTGTGTTCACAGAGCTACTTCAGCAACCAAAGAGAGGAAACATCTCACTGACCTACGTTTATGGTTAGTGGTGGATCTGGCAGTGCTAGGTTAATGGTGGACTCAGGGACCTTAAAGGTCTTTTCTAACCTAAACGGTTCTATGATTCCAATTTTCTTCTTTGCTCGGGCAGTTTGCCATTACAGCTATAACCAGTAAGTCCCAGGAAAACTCTGGGTACAAAAGTGGTCAATGTAACAGAGTTTAATTTAAGGGAAAAGCCAAATTTTCCTAAACCTGTTTGAGTAAACCAAATCTGTCTGCTCCCTTTCAAATACCTCTACGTTTGACCATCTAGACGAGAGAGTGGGAGAAATTGCTATTCTTCAACAGAAACATTACAATACTCAGATTAACAATTCTTTAAAACATAACACTGCACTTTTAAAACTACATTCTCTCCAAGCTTGTCCCTAGAGGGCCACATCAACATTTCTGTGGGATGATCCCTTAGTGATTTCTCAAGAATACTAGTGAGAGTTCCTGCACCATATCTAAATAAGAGCAAAAATAATTTTAAGGAAATCCAAGCAAGTTTTGAAAGTTCAATCAGTACATATTTAAATATTTCTCTGGTTACAGAAGAACAGCACAGCACTAGCTCCCTGCTAACACAACCTACTAGCTCAGACTTCCCACCAATGGAATGCAGCCCAGCTGAAATCTGTGTAAAAAAATTCAGAAAGTTTTAATATGCAGCCAGAATCTTAATTTTATAGCCCATCTGGATTTAGTCAATGCTAGCTCTTCAAAATGGAGATTTTTGTCTCTATTTGAACAAACAAACAAAAACTTTCAAAGGATCATTTAAATGATTTAGATACGCCTAATCGAAAGAACGTTAAGTTCAACCTAAGTGCAGAAGTTTTTGACATCACAGCCACATCAGCATTAAAAAAAAAACCCCAACACATCAATGTGTTAAAAATATAAGCACAGATGTAATTTAGCTAAAAAGAAAACCCTGAGAATGGTGCCTGCTGTCTTCTCCAGAGGTTCCATAACAAGCTACCCAGGGAAAATATTTTAACTTTCCAATCCAAGCTGTACCTTCATTACCAAGTGAATTCTTCTCTAAGAACATCATTCTGTTGATCAACTCTCAATTCCAAACGGGTCCTACACAGTAGCTACAGGCTATTAAGTGTCTACCTCAACCAGGCTGGATGCATGTCTTGATACTGAGAAAACTACAAATGATGCCCATGGAAAAAATACTAAGTGAAGGGAGAAGGCTTGTTACGTCAAAGCAGCAATTTTTACATTAAGAGATGTTCCCAACCCACTGATGGCATGGGTTGATATGAAAGTTGGTTTGATCACAGTGCCAGGGTGAGCGTGGAGGGGAAGACATCAAAAACCTCTACTGGGTTTACGTGCAAAAAAGACAGAAAATGTTCCCTGTCAGACAGGTGTGTATTCTAGCACTCAGCTCTCAGCCTGCTGCTGATCATTTTCAGCTTAATGTGTGTTTTGATATATATCTTTTTTTCTCAGAATGGGATGAGAGCTGGATCGGTGGGAGCTGGGACACATGTACTTACCATAGGACAGATCACTTGCTAATGCTAGAACCATTTCCCTATCCTTTCTACAGTCATTTCTACTGAAGTTTAAATATAAGTTAAAGATGAATATAGCAGACACTTTCTCATATTTTATAGAACTGGAGCAAGTTCTGTAATCGAGCACAGTGCACTTTTTTGACCTCCCTCTAGCACACTGGCTGGTCGGACACGTGCTGGTTGTTTGTAGGTTCAATAGAGAAGTGTTTAAAGTCTTTAGTAGTATAGTAAAGTATTTAAAGAAAAGATATTTAAAGTATCAAGTTCAGCTGATGTCTGGATGAACACAAAGCAGAAGAATAGCAATGTGCCTTTGAAATAAAGTACCAAAACTAATAAAAAATGAAATTTGCTTACACTGCTGACTTGGATCAGAATCCGTGGTCATCTTCACGTAGTTTGAGGGGAAGAGACCTGTCACCCCATTGAGCTCTCCTTGCCACCAGTCAGCATCGTCTTTGCTCAGGACGTTAATGAGCTGCCCTTTGGAGAAACTGAGCTCATCTTCGTTGTTGGCCATGTAATCATACATGGCTATCACCTGACACACTGGGGAGAACAAACAAATACAGCAGAACGCTGTTATACAAGTATTAAGGCTGCTTTTGTGTGTCTTACATAACCACAGGAAAGAAACAACAGTCTTCATTGTTGGCCATATAGTCATACATGGCTATCACCTGACACACTGGGGAGAACAAACAAATACAGCAGAACGCTGTTACACAAGTATTAAGGCTGCTTTTGTGTGTTTTACGTAACCACAGGAAAGCAACAACAATTTCACACACAGTTACACAAGGAAAACGCCACACGATCTGATCTTGACGTGGAACTGTCCTCCCTTCTTCTTTTACTTTTTTTTAATTTGGCCAGAAAGCAATATTTTTTTCTACTTTAGATATCTATGCACTCATACAGCAAATTGATTCTGTTAGTATAGCATCTACTGACCTTCTAAACATTTTAAAACATAATCAAGTACACTTCTGTCTTTTACCTGCTCAGAAAAGCAAGTGAGTTTGATTCTCTTACGGCTGGTACTTGTGAGAAAATGTGGCAATGGCAGAGGAAACACATTAGCTAATGGTGAGCTGCCAGTTTAGCCAAAGGGAAGCTTGGTCCAGTAACACCCAGGAAGCTGTTTACGTATAAACAAATCATAGCTGTGAAGAACAGCACAATTTGAGCATGCAAAACCAAAAAAAGTTCATTTTCTGTGAAATAATCTCATTTGTACCCAGCCATTCAAATGGAAAAATCTAGTAGAAACTTGCTGCTTGGCTATTACAGCATGTAATTCCTAGATCAGAGAATTATAGAACTGTCTAGGCTGGAAGGGACCTTTAAGATCATTTAGTCCAATCATCAACCTAACTCTGATAATTCCAAGGTGTTTGCCAATAATTGTTAGTTTTCTTTAAGACTTTTGCCAGCGTTTGGAAACATGGGGTTTCCAAAGGAGAAGAGCGTGGCTCTTCAGTGGGTGCAGCAAAATTAAAAGCTCTTGCTGTAGAAGATGGGCTGCTGATCCTCATGGATTTCTGGCTATAAATGTCTTCGTACAACTGGGACTCTGTTGCAAGGCACGCAGAGGACAGTGTATGGCAGGGAGGGACGCTATGAGGAACTGTTTTGATTAAGAAATGGGGAGATTTTACCTTTCTTGGACAGAGGTAAGAGCTGAACTCAGACTCCGACTAGGACTTTACCATCCCCAGTGACACTGCTTTCAGATACAGCCATTAAACAGAATATTAAGCTAGTTATGTAAGTCAGATTGGTATCTGAACAATTGAAGCAGTTACATAAAGTACTCTAAATGAAAGATAAAGTCATTTTTTTTTCACCTGCGGGAGCAGCAGACGTGGTTCTTTCAGTGCTCGGCCCCAGTAATTTCACATGGCTGGCAGGGAACCACCCTTTCTGTCTCTTTTTCCCTCTTGCCTGTAAATGTTTAAAATGGTTATTACACAATTAAGAAACCAAAGAGTCTACAGACTGGAGAAAATGCAACAAATACGTTACATGGGTTTGCCAACAAAAGTCAGGCTTCCAAACAGCCACTAAATACTAAATAGATCTCAAAAGGAAATAATCTGGCTAAAGGCTAGAATATCCCAATTCAAAGCCGTTACATGGGTTTGCCAACAAAAGTCAGGCTTCCAAACAGCCACTAAATACTAAATAGATCTCAAAAGGAAATAATCTGGCTAAAGGCTAGAATATCCCAATTCAAAGCTGCACCCTACTATGTTCTGGCAAATGTATTAATCCAAAATTTTCAAGTCCAGCCAATTACTTCAGCGCAGAATTTAATTGTAGTGCTGAAAATTCGCTCCATGAACATTCCACGTGTGCATCATACTAAAGCTGCACCCTAATATGTTCTGGCAAATGTATTAATCAAAATTTTCAACTCCAGCCAATTATTTCAGTGCAGTATTAAATTGTTGGGCTGAAAATTTGCTCCATGAACATTCCACGTGTGCATCATACACGGAGTCTCTAATGAGATACCCAGCACGGAGGTAACAATTAAAAAGCTGCTTTTGAAAATCCTGACCTACGGCTTTGATACCACTGCTGACCCAGTACAGCACGTCAGAGTTTGAAAAGAAATTCCTTATTTTTCAGTCTTTGCTTTTTGAGTCCCCCAGGTAAAGACAGTGTAAAGACACTTCAAAAAAAAAAATAATATACTTCAGTGTGCACAAAGAAGTCGGGATGTAAAAGTGAGCACAGGCTTTAGAAAGCAGTAACGGCAGAGTGAGCTCTGTTATAACAAAAAAAAAATTCAAACTAGCAAGAATTAACTATTATGTACTTTAGTTCCCCCCCCCCTTTTTTTTTGATTCTTTGAGGCTTCGTCCTGACCCAGCACTGTGCCTACTTTTCTTAAAATACAAACTATTCATTGTTTTCTGTATTATTTTTTTTTTGCACATACTATGAATAAATTTTCCACTGCTGTTAATTCACAGGAACCCAGTGCAACAATTTCTCAACTTGCTCACTGTGCTCCCTCCTCCAGTACCTGGTGTTAAAAACAGATGCTGGAGAGTTAGATCAGCCCCGTTCCAGCTGCTGGGGAGGGAAGATTGGTGTTAACGAGTATTCACTCAAAATGGTGTTCACTCAAAATGGAGCGTGCGAGGCTGTAGGATACCTCAGGAGAGGCCAATTAAGTGATATTAAGAGGACAGAACCTTCTATTGTGCTGTTCAATCCCAATATTGGAAATAGCATTCGGTATTGGAAGTAACGGTTAAATTCAGGCTAATGCTGCAGGGTCAGCTAAAATTCAGCTGAAGAAAAAGGTAACAAAGAGACATTATAAAATTGTGATTTATCTTTTTGCACTGGTTGCAAAGATGAAGGTTGTTATGGACGAGATCCCTGGGGCTCCAAATTCAAGATATCAACTATGATTTGAGAAGAACATCACGGAACAGTAACCCTCAACCCTTGGGACTAGAAATTCATCACTGGGTGAGGAAAGGAGAAAACTGGGAACAGCAATTTTCACAATAAACTGGCTTCCAACTCCAACTTCCAAGAATTCCTGTTCTTTCATTAGAATAATTTCATGATTTAATGTTTTAGCAATTAAATCCTAACCAGTTTATTAACTGTCAACATCCCTTTTCCCTCTCCCATGCACAGGTTCACTCAGTTTTCCTATTTTCTGTGACCAAAAAAAAATCCTAAAATAAGCCAAAAAACAAACAAGAACAAAACCTCAAGATTTAATTAAAAACTTGTTTTTCCCCATATATGGTTTATACAAGATGAAAATAACTTTGTAGCCAGCTTTTAGAATGCTATACTTAGTTGTTTTCTCAATTAAACCCAAGATCACCTCCTTACCGTTCATTAAGTCACAATTATTTCTTTTCCAGTAATTACCTGCAGCTCTCCTTGCCACCAGCCACTAGCATTTTTCTTCAGAATAAGTATTAGCTGTCCCGGAGCAAGACTAAGCTGTTCAGATCCTGATGCAGCATAGGCAGTAGTAACCTGAGCAATTTCTGAAAAGATAATATATTCATTGCATTTGTTATTTTTTTTTCCATTAAATTTGTTATTTTTTCATTACATTGAGAGCTACATCCACAGAAATATCACGGTACATATCATGCAGCCAAGCACATTAGCCCCCACTGAAGCACTGCTATGAACCTCCATGCTCATAGCCATTTAAGAAACCTTTTAACATTTAGAAGTGTTATCTCACACTTACCAGGTTTCTTATTCATTGTTCCAGTTTTGCCAGCACTACTAGAAGCCTACGGAGAAAAAACAATAATCTTTTAATATGCTATAAAAACAGTAGAGTTTACGCCAACTTTAAGGATGTGGACAGAAAAGCAGATGGAGATTTTAATTTTGAGCATGTATTTAACATTTAAAAAATGTACGCCGAGAGACAGCGCGATGCTGTGCTAGAGCACTGATTTAGCACTCCAGCTACCCAGGATTTTCTTTTCTGTCAAGAAGACAGAAAAGACCTCTGTCTAAAATCACTACCTGAGAGCTAGATGTATTTAACATTTAAAAAATGTACGCCGAGAGACAGCGCGATGCTGTGCTAGAGCACTGATCTAGCACTCCAGCTACCTAGGATTTTCTTTTCTGTCAAGAAGAGAGAGAAGACCTCTGTCTAAAATCACTACCTGAGAGCTAGGTATCAATAGGTATCCCCTCATGGTGTAGGGGAGGACTTTGTAGAGTTGGGTAGATGGTTGGACTAGATGATCCCAAGGGTCTCTTCCAACCTAGACAATTCTATGATTCTATGATTCTAATACCAGTAATGCAATAAAACTGAGAGAAAGCACCATGTGCTAATTCTCAGAATACAAACTCACTTCTTGATCCTTTGGTCTGACATAATTGGAGGGGAAGATTCCAGTTCTGCCATCGATGCTCCCGGTCCACCACTCCCCTTCCTTCTGGGTCACCAGGATCTCCTCACCTTCCGTGAAAGTCAAGTCCCCAGGCTCGGAGCTTGAGTACGAATAGAGGGCGACGTACTCTGTGCAGACAGCAGACAGAAAGGAGGAGACAACAGTTTCAGATGGGAGGATAAAAGCAGGTCAGATGCCAGTCAAGGTATCTTTGGTATCAGCATGTTCATCAGCGTGTTCATATCATGGATCTTCACAACTTTGCCCACCAAGCTTCCTACTTTTTTGATTGCAATCACGTCTCGCCCCACGCTCACAACTCTGAGTTGCAGTTGCACAGCTTTGTACAGCCAGGTGAATTTGGCAGAGTCAGAGTCACCACCCTCTGCTCAGCCTCCAGACCAGGGCTCAAAAACTCATCTCCTGCATTAAGGATTCCACCCTGTGTTTCACAGCAAGCACGTAAATTCCACACCTAAACCTGATTAAAACCACTCTTAGCTGACTAACACAGCAAAAATGAAAAACCCAAGTGGAATTAAAATATAATTGGGGAAGCATGGAGATACACTAGGCTTAGAAAGTGCTTTCCACAGATTTTTCTCCAGTAATATTTGTTTTCTCTACACCCTGCGGATTAAAGGAGAATGATCTACACTCAGGAGACTGCAAACCCCTTCTCATGTCTTTCATGTCTCAGTTCTCTCTGTAGAGAACAGCAGGAAGAGAACTTGGCTTATGGGTATGACATGTTAAGTTTTCAGAAATAAAATTAATGCTTGAGCAAAAGTCTTAAACCCAAAACCCAGGCCTACGCTCAACCTGAATTAGTTGTAAACTTTACTGAAGTTCCTGTTTCAGAATTCTTGTATCAGTAGCTCAACGTTTGCACTGTGTCTTTTGGAGAAGCATTAAAAGCCCTGCTCAGAAACTCTTCACGTATTTAAGCTCGTTCACATGCCATTAAGCAGCACCAGACTGTGTCATTAAGCAGCACGTTTCCTGCTGTCTCACCCTCTCCTGCTGCGTAAGACACCGCGCTCGGCTTTTTGTTCACAGCTGCATAAATAGCTTCTGGTCTGCAGAAAGAAAAAAAGAAGGTTTGGGTAACTAAAAGGCTGATTAAGAACAAATCTCTTTATTAGGATGAGGGTAATCTCACTTTGGTCATCTCAAAAAGTTGGTGTGGCCTCTGAATTCATTGCAAAGACTTCCCAACTGTCACACAGTGATAGGTATTACTGATATTTAAGATATAAATGGCATCCAAGAGCACATCTCTTCAAAAAAAGAAATGTGATGAAAGATGAAAATATATGTATTTGCAAATTATGCTAGCCAAAAGAAATACAAATTAAAGATTTTGTCTAAATTCTCTCATTCTAGAGGAATTCTTAGAACTTTATCCCAACGTGTGAAAAGAACAATTCACACACGATGGTGCAGCCATCCCAGCAGGAACCAGACTTTGAATTATTACCCAAACAGTTACCTTGCAGCATCGGAATAGACATAATCATCTTTTCAAGTAAAGAAAAATACATTATTTCTGCAAGTTGTGCAAGCTTACAATTATTTGTAGGTCACACAGAAATTGGCACCTTCAGAGGCAGAACACAGCTACACTGCGAGAGAGCTGACTCCTTAATGAACCACAACAACGTCTGGCGCTTGTTGAATAATCAACCACCACTGATTTTTCACAGCACTCAGCCTTGGAAGACTCTCTGTTTACACAGGAGTGAGCCCAGCATTACTTGGCTTTGCTGGAATGAAATAATCAAAGCCTAAAACGGCACGGTGTAAACAGTAAATGGTATTTATATTCTGCACTTTAAAGCGCTGCAAGAATTTTGCTCTCCAAACCAGCTCTTTTTGCAAACTGTTGAATAAAAGAAAAATGGAAGTTGCACTTACTCCTCTTTCTTGATTTCGCTCCCAGGTAAGAGCTTGACATATGATTTTGGGAACCAACCCCTTCCGCCGTGTACCTCTCCAAACCACCAGTTTTCCTGCTGCTCCAGGACAGTAATGATATCATTTTTTGAAAAGTTCAAGTGGTTATCTTTTTTTGCAGTCCAAGAGCAAAGTGCTTGTGCTTTTAAGTTCTCGACGGGCTGCCCCTGTTAAGACAGAAGCAGAGATGCTGATGGACCACACCAGGCCAAAACAATGTGTTAAACTCAAACAAACAAACATTGATGTATCTTGCACTGATGTTTAAGTGAATTCACTCTTAAGTGATGGCTGAGTAATTTGTTGTACAATCAGCAATATTTTACATTGATGTATGCAAGCTGTTGATTGAGGAACTATCTCTCAACTCTGCTTCTTATTTGTTAACAACATCTTATGTGTCTAACAGGTGAAAATTATTTTAGAATTATGAAACATATGAGTTTTCTTGCTTAGTGGTCCCTGGAAACATGGAATTTTGTCAACACACACCAGTGGAGCGTTCTGACCAGCTTCTTTATCCTCCAGCCTGTTCAGTGCACCCAGTATTAGAAAAATCATATTTTTGGTTTGGTTCTTTAAATCAATTTCATTAACATGAATCTAAAATACATAGAGTTCTCCACTCTCACACAGTGTACCTGTCCATGAATGGGTGAAACGGATCCAGGGGACACAGTGCGAGTGAAAGCCGATTTCTGCTGCCAGGCCGTGCTGACATTCAGGTTAGAAAAAGGGATGTTTTGGTAATCAGATTCTTCTGCAGATTTACTCGGTGAAAGTGGTCTGCAAATTGAATACAGGCACATTTAACACATTACAATTTTTTACTTAAAAAGTACCTCAACCAAACTAACATATATAAAACAGATATACTGCACTATGCGAAGCAAATTATTAAATCCTTCAAATTTCCAAGCTAAGACTTTCAGGTAGGTTCTTCAATAAGTTTTCTGCATTTATATTTTAACAACCAACACCCAACAAAACTATACAGCACATTATGTATTAGCTAAATTTAGAACAAGCAATTTTAACACAAACGTAACAAAAACTCACTCTGAAGCAGCTGAGGTAGTAGATAAAGAGACTGTAGGAGGAAGTAAGGCCTTCTTAGGAGACAAAGATTTTTCCCCTTCTGGTATTTTTTCTACATAATTGCATGGAAACCAACCAAAATCTCCTTGAAAACTCCCATAAAGCCACCCGGGCTCCCCTACAGTTTTTTCATCAACCTGTGGACAGGAGGATAAATACAAAACCAACACAATTAGCGGTGTGGAACGAGCAGGGTACCAGTGAGTAACCTGCTGGCACTCTGAGTGTGAGCAGCACTCACACAAACATCAGCATTTTCATCATTTTCCCTTTCAGAATCGGGCTGGTTTTGCTCTGTTGAAGGAACGGGGCAATGATGCAATTGCACTGGGTTTAGACACGGGTAGAGACAGGTCTCAAAGACGTTCTGTTCCTCCCAATGGGCCCCAAATGCACACCTTGGGGATCATCTACTACACCTGGAGCCACCCTGGCTCGGCAGAAATGAGGGTGTTTTGTGTTGTACTTTCCCAAATGTGCAGCCAAGAGGCAGGGGCTGGTGAGCCTGAGAGCCCACACAAACAACTGCTGCAGTTCTGCTCAGGGATATAATTAACTGTGTCATTTGACTGCATCCAAAACACATCCAAAGTGTCTGCTGTTTATGATATGATTAAGTATAGAGCATCCTTAAACATCGGTAGCAATATCGAAGCCTCCATTATAGCTGCAAATTAGAAAATTAGTCAAAATTAGGTGAAAATTAGCAGCTCATCAAATATTATCAGTTAGTTAGCTTAGTTGAGGTTTGGGGTATAAGAGGAGGAGGTGGTGGCAGCAGCTGTTAGCCTATTTCTAAAATAAATTATCAGTAGTCAAATGAGACAGTTAATTATATCCGAGAAGGAAGCCAAAACAAAACCTACTTTGCTTTCTCCCTCTTCCATGCTTCATTGGTATGAAAATGCAAATAAATGATTTCACATTATCTAACTGAAACCTAATACTTAAGGGTTGCAATAGTTTTTACCACATTGCTTTGTAAATTCTCCCGTTTCACCTACCCAATATTGCTTATCATCTGAATGAGGAGGAACCAAACATATACTTAGATATATCTATTAATACTATTACCACAGTTGTAAATCAGTTTCCACAGTCCACCTGAATGCACATGTACAAAACCATGTATGCTGAAAAGTGACAGAATTACATCAAATAACACAGATTTCAACTGAGACATTAGAAGACATTTCCAATCTTATGGTGCTGCTGTAATATTTTCGGTAACATATTCAGCTGAATCCAGGAAAGTGCTACAAAGAATGGATACAGAATAAATTCCTATAGATATCTGCCTGAGGGAGCATTTATAAAGGACTAACCAACAAGAGGCAGAAGTGTATGATAAAATACATTAGAATATGGTATTAAGATTGAGAAGAATCTTTCATATCTACTTGTTAAATAACTAGTTTTATAGTAATTAATGGCATTTGAATTAAAAAGTCGTACCTCTATTTTCTATGCTCATATTTCAAGCAGACACTTAAGAGGCCAACTTGTACATGTAAAACAAACTGCACCAACAATATCCTTCCTGATCTACTAGTTTTGGAAAGTTTATGTTTATCATTCACTCTTGTTACTTTAAACAGATTGTCAACACCTCTAGGATGTGTAAGATCCAAAGAAAGACTTACTGAACTAATCCTAATTTCACCTGTTGAAAAAATAATTTTTTTTTAAAAAAGCAAACTAATTTAAATTTTGAGTAAGCCTTAAAATATATCAGCATAATGCTTCTGACACTTAAGACCTATCTCAAGACTGGAGAAGGGAGGATGATTTTTCAAGTGGCAAATCTTACCTGAATTATATCTCCAGTATTAAAGCTCATCTCATCATGATTCCTTGCTTCAAACGGATATAAAGCTCTGTAATTTACCAAGGCAACTGAATTCCTAGACTCTGAGACACCACCTGCACTGCCTAAAAGGATAAGAAAACCAGTTACCATGTTGATGCAGCTGAAAGGCAAGCACTTAGTTGGAGCCCCATCATTTTAAGCAACAGGTGTGAAAATAAGAAGAGAAGGGTTCTTGCCCCAAAGCCACTATGCAAGTCTCAAAGGGGATCATCAGCTGCAGCAGGTTGATGGGACGCATACAATGCAAGAGTTTAACATGCTAATCATAGTAAATATAACACAGCCAATGAAATGCACTGGTTTCTGAAACAAAACAAAACAAAACTGACATCTTTATCTTCTCATCTTTCCATGTCAAGCTGCTCTGGCTTAAGCCAGAGCTTTAATATAGTCTCATTTAACACAATTATAATTTTCCAAGTTGAAAAGCCACCACTGTTGCTACAGTAAGTTGTCAGCAGTGTCAGTGAAGATTTTACTTTGAAACTTAAAATAGCAAAATATCATGATTTCTATTTTCTTTGCCTCTCTGTTCTCCAAGTCTGTGACTGATGTTGCTGACAGTGAATGTTTCACAAGGTAGAGCTGAGCTGTTGCAAGCACCTTTCAGCGCTGTTCTAATTTGGTTCTTCCTGAACTTAGTGAGATAAGTGGCTAATAAAAACTGACAAGAACTAATGAAGGATAGAACTGATCAAAACTGCTTTTAGCAAAAATACTCTGAAACCAGTATTTTTCAAAGTCCCACAACTAGAGTTATGTCTGGTCATTCAGTTGTTTTTTAATAAGAAGCATTGAGGAATGTAGAAATAAACTAGATTTCAATGTTAATAAATCATTTCGCTGAGCATTACCTGCCCATTCACTCATCACTGCACAAAACCTCCGCATTAGCATTCTGCTTTAGTGACAAAAAACTAAATTATTACTGTTTCCAGCATCTGTGATCTGTTGACTGTGATCACTGGAAGATTTGTCATCAGTCACAGGTGCTGAAAACTGAGAGAAGTAACTTAAGTTAACAGGATTATTTATAACTAAGTAAAGACACGAAACATTGCTGTTGGTTCAGGTCTTTTTTCACTATTTTAGGCAATAAGCCTGCCATTGTGTCACATTATCACAGAATCATAGAACGGTTTGGTTTGGAAGGGAACTTAGAGATCATCTTGTTCTGACCCCCCTGCAACAGGCAGGGACATCTCCTGCTGGACCAGGTTTCCCTGGTTAACAATAATGTATTTAAAGAATGAAATAACGCTCAGGAAAATAAGAACCATCAAAGCAAAAATCCAACAGACTAAGATTACCTTCATTTTTCCAGGGTGGCTTAAGACTTTTACCCTCTGTTGGTTTCAACAGATCTGCAAACTTCTCATTTATGTTTAATTTAGAAGTGCGTTTCTCCACCTCTTGAGAGTTGGTCGCTTCTTTTATCTTCTTTATTTCTTCATTCTGCTTACGCCTCTCCTCAGCTTCTTTTGCAATTTGTTCTTGCTTTCTTTTATCTTCTTCCAGTTGCCTCTGCCTTTGTTGTTCTGCTTCCCTCAGGATTGTAGCTTGCCTATTTTTTTCCTCCTCTGCGTGATGCTGTTGTTTATTTTCCCTTTCTCTCATTAGAGCTTCTTCGGCTTTCAGCTTTTCTTGAACTTTTTCCTGCATCCGTTCTTCCTCCAATCGCTTCTTTTTCTCCTCCTCTTCCCTTCGGATATTTTCCTGCCATCGGTTCTCCTTCTCCCGTTTTGCTTTCCTGAAAGAAAGGAATGAGAGAGAGGTAGGAGAACATTCATATAAAAATGAATGAGATGGTGTTTTTAGAGTAATTGACTGCATTTGACAGTAAAACTGAGTCTATGACACTGATCCCTCTCTTGTCCATAAGCTCTTCCACAGGAGACCACACTTTGTCTTAAGGTAAGTGCCAATATATTTCACATATAAATAACAAATGGATTAAAATTAGTATTAAAGCTCATCTCATCATGATTCCTTGCTTCAAACGGATATAAAGCTCTGTAATTTACCAAGGCAACTGAATTCCTAGACTCTGAGACACCACCTGCACTGCCTAAAAGGATAAGAAAACCAGTTACCATGTTGATGCAGCTGAAAGGCAAGCACTTAGTTGGAGCCCCATCATTTTAAGCAACAGGTGTGAAAATAAGAAGAGAAGGGTTCTTGCCCCAAAGCCACTATGCAAGTCTCAAAGGGGATCATCAGCTGCAGCAGGTTGATGGGACGCATACAATGCAAGAGTTTAACATGCTAATCATAGTAAATATAACACAGCCAATGAAATGCACTGGTTTCTGAAACAAAACAAAACAAAACTGACATCTTTATCTTCTCATCTTTCCATGTCAAGCTGCTCTGGCTTAAGCCAGAGCTTTAATATAGTCTCATTTAACACAATTATAATTTTCCAAGTTGAAAAGCCACCACTGTTGCTACAGTAAGTTGTCAGCAGTGTCAGTGAAGATTTTACTTTGAAACTTAAAATAGCAAAATATCATGATTTCTATTTTCTTTGCCTCTCTGTTCTCCAAGTCTGTGACTGATGTTGCTGACAGTGAATGTTTCACAAGGTAGAGCTGAGCTGTTGCAAGCACCTTTCAGCGCTGTTCTAATTTGGTTCTTCCTGAACTTAGTGAGAGAAGTGGCTAATAAAAACTGACAAGAACTAATGAAGGATAGAACTGATCAAAACTGCTTTTAGCAAAAATACTCTGAAACCAGTATTTTTCAAAGTCCCACAACTAGAGTTATGTCTGGTCATTCAGTTGTTTTTTAATAAGAAGCATTGAGGAATGTAGAAATAAACTAGATTTCAATGTTAATAAATCATTTCGCTGAGCATTACCTGCCCATTCACTCATCACTGCACAAAACCTCCGCATTAGCATTCTGCTTTAGTGACAAAAAACTAAATTATTACTGTTTCCAGCATCTGTGATCTGTTGACTGTGATCACTGGAAGATTTGTCATCAGTCACAGGTGCTGAAAACTGAGAGAAGTAACTTAAGTTAACAGGATTATTTATAACTAAGTAAAGACACGAAACATTGCTGTTGGTTCAGGTCTTTTTTCACTATTTTAGGCAATAAGCCTGCCATTGTGTCACATTATCACAGAATCATAGAACGGTTTGGTTTGGAAGGGAACTTAGAGATCATCTTGTTCTGACCCCCCTGCAACAGGCAGGGACATCTCCTGCTGGACCAGGTTTCCCTGGTTAACAATAATGTATTTAAAGAATGAAATAACGCTCAGGAAAATAAGAACCATCAAAGCAAAAATCCAACAGACTAAGATTACCTTCATTTTTCCAGGGTGGCTTAAGACTTTTACCCTCTGTTGGTTTCAACAGATCTGCAAACTTCTCATTTATGTTTAATTTAGAAGTGCGTTTCTCCACCTCTTGAGAGTTGGTCGCTTCTTTTATCTTCTTTATTTCTTCATTCTGCTTACGCCTCTCCTCAGCTTCTTTTGCAATTTGTTCTTGCTTTCTTTTATCTTCTTCCAGTTGCCTCTGCCTTTGTTGTTCTGCTTCCCTCAGGATTGTAGCTTGCCTATTTTTTTCCTCCTCTGCGTGATGCTGTTGTTTATTTTCCCTTTCTCTCATTAGAGCTTCTTCGGCTTTCAGCTTTTCTTGAACTTTTTCCTGCATCCGTTCTTCCTCCAATCGCTTCTTTTTCTCCTCCTCTTCCCTTCGGATATTTTCCTGCCATCGGTTCTCCTTCTCCCGTTTTGCTTTCCTGAAAGAAAGGAATGAGAGAGAGGTAGGAGAACATTCATATAAAAATGAATGAGATGGTGTTTTTAGAGTAATTGACTGCATTTGACAGTAAAACTGAGTCTATGACACTGATCCCTCTCTTGTCCATAAGCTCTTCCACAGGAGACCACACTTTGTCTTAAGGTAAGTGCCAATATATTTCACATATAAATAACAAATGGATTAAAATTTTTGGTACAGAAACACTGCCACTGCAGTGCCTCCATGAGCACTTCTTCTGCTCACCTACAGCCTGATGAGCAAGAAGAGATCTGCTGATTGAACAAAGGTGGTTTTAAACTGTCCACCAAGGGAGTGCCCAAAGTTCACGACTGGAAACTAAGATTTTCAAACAGATTAATAACAAAATTTCACTCTGGGACAAACATAAAAATAGCTTTCGCATACTGACATTTGCTGCTTAATTTTTTTCGCTTTCAGCAGTTGTGATCTATTCACAATATGGTTATCTGCATCATGGCCACACTCTTCATCAGACAGAATCTGGAAACCCAACTGTATTCTTTCTAATTATTCAGATTTTATCCCGTGCCTCTCCAAAGAAGTTATTATCCAATTAAACACCCTTAAAAATAACTGTATTTTAGCTGTTGAGACCTTTCTTCTGAAAAGAGCCGGCCAAACCCTTTCATTTTATTGTGTTTTAAGCACATGGTAGGATCTATCAGAAGCTGTTTTTCCTCCAGTAGGAAAAACACCTCTAGTAGGAGTAAAAACAGAGCGGCATCTTAAGACAGTCAGAATCAAAACCTAGAAACTATGTTTTGGTGATCAGTGAAACAACAGAAAACAAAAGTAGTTGGAGACAAGACCATGAGAAACCAAAAGCTGAGAACAGTAACAGTTTGACTGCTTGAAACAGGGCTGGGCTGATCCTCTCAGCCATATATAGAATCATAGAACGGGCCAGGCCGGAAGGGACCTCCAAAGGTCATCGAGTCCCACCTCCCTGCAGTCACCAGGGACACACCCAACTAGACCATCTGAATTTTCTCATTGTTCTCCTAAAAAAGGAACCAAATTTAAAACTCAAAGCTTGCTCACTCATCCAGCTTTCAAGATTAACATCGGAATTTAGCGGTTGATGCCCCTCTTATTGTGTTAAGTATCAATCTCACAACTGTCAGGATATACATGACAAAAAACTCACTCAGAAGTGCTTTTAAGGCTCAGATCTCCTGAAGGCCAGCAAAACAAGGCAGAAAATATAAGGAATTTTAAATGGGTGAGGATTATCTATTAAAAGAGCTAAAAAATTTATTAGCAAAAGTAGCTATTGGGTTTATCTGAATTATAAGGTTTGGGGTTTTTTTTTTAAGAAGATTAAAGCAGATTGGAAAGAGGG